TTTTCTTACGATTTTCGAGTTTAGTAGACCATAATACATAAGAAAAAAACTATGGCATTGAATATACATTTTTTTTTTATTTTGTAAACTAGTGTTATAGTACACATGTTCCAAGGACTAAATAATTATTTTTTGAAACATAAAAATGTTAGATTTATATGAAACAACAACGTGTTTTAATGTAACTGAATCTTTTGTAACAACATTTAATTATTCAACATTTCTTAGGAAAACTCTAGGTAAAATTTTATGTAAAAAGAGAGTGGGTGAGTCCGAGAAATCTTATGTGTCCTTGCATAGGGGTGAATGGTCAAAAACGGCCAAAACCGTCCATACGTAATTAATGAACGCCCCCTTATTATTTAAGGTGGTAGTTGAAGAATTCATAAAAATCATTATTTTAGAATGTATTAAATTTATGTGAAATAGATTCGGTATATTTTGCCTGTTCGTTGTTGCTGCGTATTGTTAAATGATTAGGTTAGTCCCAAGATATGTGGTATTAAAAGTACTCACTGGCCAAGGTAGCAAGGGCCACTTTCCCAATTAAAGCTGTGCTGTACGAGATGAAGACTCGCTTCGCGGACGAAGCCATCGCCAACTGTAACACGGCAATGCCGACCAGGATCGCCAAAAGCGCGGAGGCGGTCGCCGCGGCTAATCCTGCCACCCACACAGCCACTGCACAGAAAACGAACGGAGAAACTCATCTCGTGCTTGATCGACATTTCATACGATTGATTTGCTCTAACAAAAACCTCTTTCTAGGATTAGAATAAATCTCAGAATATCCATGAATTTTCCACAAACAGTTTAACGAAGACAAGTGTAACTATTAGGCCTTATACAATATTCAAAAACCACATTTGTGACATTTAATCGAATTCATTTTTTAGATTATAATGTTATTCGACGATTTTTTGAAACATCTTCAAGAATAATACCTGGTTTTGTTAAGTTATGCGAAAACGTCTCTTTTGAAAGGATATATTTACTTAATTCATACAGTAGTGTTAGAAACAATTTTGAATAATATTTATGTATATCCTGAGAGCGACAGTATTTGTAAAACTTATGTATGCCTATGTGTTAACAATCTTTTCTAGTTATTCAGTAAGTTCCGCATAAAAGTAGCAATATTAATTTCTAAATAAAGTGATTTCCCCTATAGGCGTATTCCACTAAACGTTGATAAGACCGATAAAATATGTGACTTGGCAAGAAAATTGAAGTGAAAATTAATACGTTTATAATTTTGATTTCAATTTTCTTGCCAAGTCACATATTTTATTATCGATGTTATCTTTAAAAAAACGCATCAACAATAATACGTCTTGAGTAATGTGGAAAACTATTGACAAAATTGCAATTATTATATCATATATTATTGTTATTATATGTATATATAAAAAATGTTTATAGACCTAAACATAATATTAATAACTTTAATTATCTGTAAAAATAAAAATTATTGACAGCGCAAGGAAATTTTTAATCACAGCAGGCAGTGCCTCAGGAATCGGCCTGAAATGTGCAAGTAATTCCGAGCACTGATGTACAGTGGGTGTAGAAAGTATTCGTACACCGATCAATTTCCAAAAAAACTATGTAAAATTGTAATTTATTAACTTATTTTTTATAAACAATGACATTCTACATATTCTCGGAAATCTATAGAATAGATAGATTACAAAAAAATAGCCATTTATGTAAGTTGCGAAATTAACAAGAAAAAGACAATTAATCGATAGAAAAGTTGAAGCAATAAGTATTCGCAAAACTGTTTAATTTTTAAAACTTCATTAAAAAAAAAAAAGATATTAACATTAATTTATAAGTATATAATACTTCCTTCGTGGGATTTCCTTTTGATTTTATAATTATTGTAACTTTTCTAAACATTAAATTAAGTAAATTATTAGTTATTCGAAGTGGGATCTTTTCCCATTCCTCTATTAGAAACTTTTTTTAAAGTACTTTACTGGAAATTCGATGTTCTCTAATTCGCACGGAGCAATAAACTAATGTGTTTACATTACAAACTCTGCTGTAAATGGTTCGTCATAAGAATCGTACAAATACTTATTGCTTCCATACTTTTACCCACTTTTCGTATTGTTTTGTTAATTTCACAAATTATATTAACTAGTAAATGTTGTTTGGACTATATCTATCTTAGAGACTTCCGAGAATATGTTTAAATATCGTTGATTATAAAAAAAGAAGTTAAGAAACTACATTTTCACACAAAAGTTTTTTGGGAAATTGATCGGTATACGAATACATTCTACACCCACTATATATGAATATTAATCGATATAATTTCTAACATCACATTACAATGAATTAAATGGATTGCATAAAGTAAAATGGAATTGTTCTCCCGAAGAAGTCTAAAGAAAAAAAAACAACTAAACGTTGAGTTGATATCATATGAAGTTATGGTGAAATTTATTTTCTATTATAATTATATACATAGAATTATATTACGTAAATAATTACCCATGGAATTAATTCGGAGGGTATAGCAATGTTTCAAATGAACTCACAGACTGGTTGAAACCTTGAAACTCCTTGACCGCATCTCTCTCGACCGTACAAAAGAAGTTTGCATTGCCTCCATGGCCCAAAGTATCCCTTTTCGGCTGCTGAACCAGCTGGAACATTGAAAGAAAAATCGAATTTTGAGACTTTTTGTAAAGAACTACGTCATTGCCATCTTATAATTTAGGAATATAAATATTTTAGATAGCTAGAGTCACATTAATTCAAAAAATATAAAGTAAATTAAAATAATGTTTTAATAGAAGGTAATTTATATTAATATAGCAATCCTTACATATATATATATATAACGAATGATTTTTTTCCTCGATAAAGATCATTTATTGCTAGACAAATTTATTAAGTATACATAATTAAAAATAGTCAAAATGTAGTCGTCTTTACACTCAATTTTATAAATAAATATAAAAAATATATATGTAGTTCCATTTAAAAAACGAAACTTCACCATCGTATCTTTTAAATTAATAATATAAAAAAAAATTTCGTTTACGCCACGATATAGAGCTCATTGTATCCTGCAATTTACATACAATCAATTGTTTCGTATCATCAATAGTTATTGAAATATGCGTCTGTCACACTTTAGCGTTGACACCCTGTGTATCCAATATTTGGTACTAGTTTGATATTTTTTAATATTACAAAAAACATTCCATACTGAATCGTAAATAATACATTTATACGTAATAATCTTTTATTAAATTTTTAATTCAGTCTAATATCAGCCTAAATTTCTAATTTCAACCTAAATCCTGTTTCAAATATATTTAAATTGACTCTAAGAAGAAATAAAAGTATTTGTTCACTCTACAAATAATGCACATTCATCTACTATATATTCAACTTTTTTTTCAAACGTACAGTTTCATCGCAATTAATTATTAAAGAGTGACGATTATTTTATATACTCATGCTTTCCCTCATACACGATAAATTTTCGGGACGATACATCTTTTCTGACACCGTTATGCAGAAACGAGGTGCAGCCCACAGCTATGTGAACTTGGCACCCGACTTTTCAAAAATTAATTTTGTTTATAGAAAACGATAGTATTTCGTTACTACCTAAATTTACCTCCAATAGTTTCATTTGTACCTCCACCAATTAATAATTTTAAAAAATTAAAAAAATGGTCAGCACCCGACATCGAGATTTTTGAAATCGGTTTTTCCCGACTCTTTAGAATCGTTTGTACCCGCCGGAAACGTTTTTCTTTTCGTTTGTACCTCAACAGTTTAACTTATACAGCAATTGTTGATCCGCGTAAGAGTGAAGTTTGTTAATTTTCAAGATATTTAAAATCTGTTTTTTCCCGATTCTTTAGAATCGTTTGTACCAATTTGTACCGCTTTTCGTTTGGTTTGTACCTCAATAGTTTAAATTTTATAATTCAACAGTATCAACAATTGCTTGTAAAATTTAAACTATTAAACTAAAAGTCGGGTGCCATGTTCACATAGCTGCAGCCCACGACGGAAGAGCGTGTTTTCCGTGAGAAAAGTACGCGAGTAACAAACGGACCTTCGTCGTTGACTCCAAGAGCATGATTCCGAATGTATGAGATTGCGGACAACTAGGAACCGAGTAACGAGCAATTTCGCGGTGCTCATTTTGCCTGTTCGAATGACCCATAAAGACGGTTCTTGTTCGTTCGGCTGTCTGTGTAAATCTCCCACTTACTTCTTTTTTCTTTCTCCTTTGTGAGGAGGGGGGGGGGATAGAAGTAGGGAAAGGAAAGCGGAAAATGTCACATTCCGCGTATCCAGAGTCGCCGAATGGAATTCGATACGGTAATGGGAATGTAAGAATGACCTGCTCCTTGCAGAACGTTAGATCTCTGTCGAGAAAGCTTTAACCTTTTTACTGTTGAATCAATTAGTGGCGAGAAAAGCACCTGTGCTAAATTAATTTACTTTCTAATATAACTAGCTGGTTATTGTTGCTCGTTTAATTCATATATTTATATATTCATATATTCATGTTTATTTTGTGTGCGACCCTTTACGGAGCACACAAGAAACTTCCCAATTTTCGATTACAGCCCCATTTATCGCGAAAAAAAAATGTTTGAAACTAGTGTTTTGAAAAGGTCTCATAGCCAGCTTTCACAGTGCATGATAAAAAATGAGGTGTTCCATTAAAAAAATTTTGTTGATCTTGACGTGACTTTGACCGGTCCTTTGAAGATCAAACGGACACGATCGTTCAATAGAATTTTTAAAACCCCAAAAACATTTCTCTAAACCATTCTTCTCACAAATGTTCCATTTTGGAAATATTTGACTGTTTCCATACTTTTAGAGCATCCTGTATGTGTATATAGTACATGTGTTATACATATGCATACAAATGTAATAATAGTAATATATGTATATATATTATTTCCGTTTAGTTATTCACTCATAAATTTATATTCTCCGATCTAGATTGCGTTATTGAGTTAAGTTTTCTTAAAAAAACTGAAAAACTACTGGGCCGAATTAGAACAAAATCTAATCAGCTCTAAGTTAGATTGATACACATCTAGTAGCATATGCGCGCGCACGCACGCACGCACACGAACAATTTGTTAAAAATAGGGTAAAATAACTCCAATGATCTTGAAACGTAGAGATCTGCTAAAAAATCGATTTTTCATTTTAGGGGCAAATACAACAACTTCCCTATAAATCGGAAAGTTAATTATACGTGTATACATAGGAAAAAGTTAAATAGCCAAGTAAAGAAATATGCTGAATGAAACAAGAAGTGTTTGGTAATGATAAGTAACATTATGTACAAAAATTAAATGGAAATTTTAATTCATACCATTTTTAACTAAATTCTGTTGATTTTTCATGAAATTACAATAAAAAATATGGAACTAAATTTATCGTATGAAATTCTTTAAATTAACTGTACCTATATATATTTTTATTTATCTAACAATATTCTATAAATATACTCTTTTATACATATTTAACTGAAGTTTTTAAGTAATATAACTGGAAAACAACTGTATATGCTAAAATTATATCTCACTCCAACTACTGATTAAAGTATACGAGAAAAGCAAATATATTGATACGATTGAAACACTATGATAATACAAATTGTGTTTTGACAATAATAATCCTACAAATCACTGGTTAAATCAATAATTCAAGTCGAATTGTCTCATAGTTAGTTATTCATTCTAATAATTATTATGCTTTCTATAACCAATGAAATTATTAATACTATAAAATACGTTTAATAGATATGATAAGTCCGATTAATTCATATACAGTTAGCTCCCCTATACTTGTATTTTATTTTCATTGAACGAATTTTCATTTATATTGGTATTATATGTTTTATTTGAAATTATTTGAATATGAATGATACAAAATATTTACCAAAGTGAAAGAAATGTTTTGTAAACTTTTAGGAGAAGTTCTAGGTAGAAGTTTAAACTTTCTGAAAAGAGGAACAAAATTTCATCGTACGAATGAAGAAGATAAATGAGAATTCATATGATCGTAGTGTCATGGACGTAGGTGATTTCTATCGATACAGAACGTACGACATTTATTAAAACGGATAACGTCGACAAGATACATTAAAGCATAAATCTGGGTGAAATACGGCTCGAAATTTTATTTTCAACACTTTTCATGCGTAGGCGAAGATGCATTGAGATTTCATATGCGTGAAATGTTTGAAGGTTATTCCTATAAATTATAGCATAACTTAAAGAGAATCCAATTAAAGGCATTAATTGAATACGCTTCATGCATAACTGAAATTGTTAAAACTTTACAATTTTTATATACATTATGTACACTATACCACAATTTTAAAGTTTTATCAATTTAAAGTATAAATAAGAAATATTTGTTCGTGCTTATTTGTATATAATCTATATTTTATATGATACGTATACTTTCTTTAGAATTTAATATAAGATAACCCGTTTATATAACAAATGTTTCAGTAATAGTTAAATAATGTTTTTATACTCTATTTGTATAATTATAGATGAATTATGTATTCGTTTTCAGATAAAAGTGAAGAAACCAAATTACAAATTTAATTCAATATTTATAATTATCGATAACGACTAAACTGATCTTATTTCAATTTTTTAAAAACTGTTTTTCATCTGAAATTACACGTAACGAAAATTAGCGAAATGAGACGCAAGTCAGGACGATATCATGTCTATTCCTTCGAAGTTCGTTATTATATTTATTCTTTCAACTCCTAAATTGGGAAACACTGCTTGTTCCTAATAATAGTTTCGATTAGATAACTGAAACAACACGTTGACTAATAAATTGCTTGTTCCGAACCCTTTGAAGATAACGATGACGATTATGTAATCAGCTGATTGTTCATTTCTCAGAATGAATGACAAACTGTGCAATCACTTACACGACGTTCACCTTATTTGCAACTGGACGGGGAAATAAGATTAAAAATTTCAGTATTATTAGTACCATAATCATATAATCTCCGAAACAGATGGTTCTTGAGGTATAAATGTTTTCGTTACCTCTATTTTCTTGTATCAAAGTGTAGTAAATCTCGAACGATTTAATATTATATAATATGTACATATAAAGGAAGACATTTCATTCGAGCAAGAAATATTCACTCGACTGTAGCGTTTAAGTACAAAAGTAATTACTGTTACCAACTTCACTGAGGTCGACTCGAAACATCAACCTCGCTAACGGAGTCTTTCAAGATTTATCGCTTTGAATATTAAAACGTAATACTGCTCTAGACGGACATTTCTCAATTGCAAGAGATTCCTTTGAAAACAACCAACATGGCGATTACTATTTTGACGGAAACTCCGTGATTTTGTTGAAATTCGATAAAGCATGTAACAGACAGCTAGTTTGAATGAAATACATTAATCGAAAGGAACGGTTTAACGAATCAATGAACATATCACTTAATATAATAATAGAGTGTTAAAAAAAAAACCATTTGTGGCAAGTTTCAATCCCGTACCTTTACTGGAAGGGTAATTACAGGGCAAAATGTAATTTACAGTTTAAGCTGTATAACTTTTGTTGTACTGTATCAAAAATTTTGAAAAAAATTACAGATAGTCTA